TTTGAATCAAAACTTTTCAGTGTCAGATGTTAACAAAGATCTTCCGAAAATAGAGTACAAACATGATGGGACCATTAGAATCACGGATACATTTGACATTGATATTCCTAGTGGTAAAGCAAAAGAAGATTTGGATATGGTTCCTTACAATAGTTGTAAGGCGGTACTGGGCAAGTGCATTGTTGGCGGCAACGGAACGATCGACGAAGGTTGTCTATGCGCTAGGATGGCGATGGACGACCAGCAAATGATCGCGCAGGAAATAGACGAACTTACACCGTGTCCTAAATGAAATACGTCTGAATTTGCTCTACAGGATGTAGAAGAAAACAGGCGTTTACAAGGTATATGCCCATTTTGCTTGAACTACTACCTACTGAAAATCGTATAAAGTACTAAGTTTCAAATAAAACAGAATAGGTATGTACGTTGTTAGTTACTTAAGTATTATTCCAAATTAATATTCGCTGACACTTGAGAAATGTTAAAATAATAATTATAACAAACAAATGCTATTGTTAATTTAACATATTACTATTTAANTTATTTATTTTTTAAAATATATTCGCGCTTAAGATATAAAGTGATATTTCATATCTAACATCGTGATCTTTTCGCTATTTACGTCATTTAAGGCAGTAAATCATACATTTACGATACGAGATTTTATCGAATCGAAATCTAAAGTGTATCACATTGTCAAGATGCCACAGCGCACAGATCAGTACCTCTAGTAGGAAAAACTTTCGAGTTCGTTTCGTTGCGTATTCAAAGTGTCATCGAAAAATTTTATATGAAAAATTAAACAGCGCCCCCTAGGGCGGCTATAATATAGGGGGCGCTGTTTAATTTTTCATACAACATTTTTCGATGACACTTTGAATACGCAACGAAACGAACTCGAAAGTTTTTCCTACTAGAGGTACAGCAACTAATAAAGTTTCGAGAACTGCTCCGATTTCGCGTCCACATGTATGTTGAAGTTTTGAACCACGTCCTGTGATTGTAACTATCTAGTTTAGTAAAACTTAGGCCATATTAATGAGACTTATATTTTTGTTATCTTTTAGAATTAGTGCTATATTAATGTCAGACCAAAAAGATGTTATACTTATCTTTTTTATTATAAAGTTATGCTAGGTGTAAGAACGAAGTTTTATCCTTTTCCATTTTTTATACAAAATATATTTATGTTAAAACGAAGACAATATTGTTTTTCTATATTCATGGTTTGTATTTGTTACTAGAGTTGACAATACAATGTTTGATCCTACCTTTAAGCTGTTTTAGAAAGTAACATGGCTACGTTAGGGTACTTACAGCATTTGGTGTGAAATTGCTTAGGAAATCGTTTGATTTTAATTTTCACAAGGTCCAACCGGTAATCGAACTTACGCCCAAAGTATTAGATACCACCACAGCGCCATTGGGAAATTATCGTTTATGCATCTCTAACTTATCTAAATTAAATCTTTGTTTGAGACAGTGGAAAGCTGGCATGTTTTTTTTTAGAAAACTTTTAAATTGACATTTACGCTATACGAATCAGAGTGTAAACTTGCAGTTCAGTTCGTTTCACCGCGCAAGGAAAGAGGGTCCGAACCAATAGCCTGTCGCATCACCCGCGCGAAATTCAGTTTATCGCAGAAGGCCAAATTACTGGGCATTTATCGGCAAAAGTCAGCAAATAAAAAGCATCGGAAACACTCTTGTAGGTGCAATTTAGCATTTTGTTTTTAATTTATTCTTGTAGGACACTTATTAATACCTATTTCAATTGTTTTTTAGTCGTTAACAATAAATTGGACAATCCCCTTATCAGTTGTTAGTCATGCGTCCCGTAACCGTTGCATCATTGCAGGCAGTATACCGAAGTTCGTGAATGTGATTAGAAAGAGAACGCTATATTCGCGAATACATGGGATTAAAACGAGATAAATAGTGGTATGAGAATCGCTCCTATTGTCATAACAAGTTCATGGTCAGTTGTGGGAGCACGACACAGTATTTTACTTTTTGCGTGCATTCCGCGTCGCAGTTTCATGTTGATTACCACGTTTCGACCATAAAAATGGTTAATTACTTCATTTATGCAAAAGACTACTCCGCTTCTACGCGTGCTGCCTCGTATTTTCACGAGAATGGTTTGAAGACTCTCGAACAGTTTAAAAGTGATGTGGATAAAATAAAGAGTGAATTGACAGATGCCGGTGAGTGCCGGATTGTTTATTTGCACTGGGGACACGAGTGTGTGGAAGTTAACGAAGAAACAACGATCGAAAATTACAATAAAATGTATGCTAACGGTTGGACCACTTTGCCAGAAACAATTATTGAATGGATAAAAACAAATGTAGGCGAATACAAAATAAAATTGTTGTACATAATTACCGATGGCCTCATCGGTGAAAACAGTCTACAAAAATGTTTCCAACTTAATGAAAACGTTGAATATGAATCGGTTGTGTTTCATGCGATTCACAAAAACTTGAATTCTATCAACTTGTCAGTCGCTGCTTCATTTTTAAAAGGACAGTGTAAAGTTTACCGGAATTATGAACTGTTTGACAACGTCGATATTTCTAAGGACTTCGACTATGATAATATAACAATACATAATTTTACTGAGGAAATAGAAAATTTGAAGTCTTATATCAAATTGAAGTTCATAAATTCATCAAAAAATAATGCTACTGCTCTCGCCGTCATAGACCAGCTCAAAATGTTGAGGAATAGATTATTTACAGACCTGTCGCAGTCGCCAGAGAAGGAGCCTAATCTAGACACTAAAGACAAAAATGATTTTTTACATGAATTTCAAAATACAAACTGGTACAAAAACCTGTTCAAACAATCAAGTGAGTTGAGAACAATCATTGAGAAATCAATTTCTACTTTAATTAATTACATCGTCTGTGAAAAAAAATCTTATGCATTCGATGCTTTGAAATTCAATTTTAACTTCAGACATGAAGTTCCCGGAGAAGATATCAACGATATCGTTGATGTCAACTTTACAACTGACCAAGAAATAGAGTTTCCAGACATTATTTTAGATGATGAGAAAGGAATACCAGTTATACTATTATGTACAACATTAAACCTTCTGGATAAAATAATTTTTCATTCTTCAGTATCAACGGCGAGTTTCTCAAAATTTAAATCAACGATGGAGTGCCCATTGTTTTTGCTGAAAGACGAAGATCTGAATGAGACAATCGGGTACTTCTACACCTTAAATGTTTACAAGCAATTATTAGAAAATACTACGAAGACAGAACCTCGTACACGAAGACCATTTCATGGCGGCCTTGTGCTCGTTGATGGTGATGACTTCGACAGATATAATGATTACATCTTGTCTGCCACCTATTTCAACTTCAAAAAGGTTACCTACAATGTCGGTTTGTTTTACTTTGTGTTGTGGAAAATTTGTGAAAATAAAGAGTGGATGGACAGAAATGTCGTTGAACAGTTCAAAAAGTACATGCTCAGGCGTATAAGTACCACGGTTTGCAGAATTGGACTATCATCACTGCCATTAGAGCCCCGAGAAAACACCTCGCTGCCTACTGCGTTGTGGTACTGTGTTGAACTGTCTACGTACATCTTCAAAAACGACCCTGATAACTTTGCACACGAACGGTTGAGAATGTTCTACGGTATCGCACATTATATGATAGAAATATTGAGCTACTTGCAGTACGACTTAAATTTGGAGGCCATTAATAAACGAGTGGATTTAATCAGGCACGTGATGATTTTGAAGAAAATTTCCACTCAAAGAGAAAAAGTAAATTTTATAGTTGAAAAAATATTCAAAAAGGTTGATGGATTCCTGGTTTCTGATATTGAAAACGGGTCGTATGTGAAGAAACTCAATTATTTGAAAATTAATCATAAAGGGATGTTGAATGATGATATCATCTTAGAGGAAGTTAATTTGAATGACTATGTTCACTTTTTGCATCATCAACATTTTGANCAATTTGATCCTGAGGTTAAAATATGTGAGAAAACCTTCCGCCCATTCTTTGTGGTTAATAAAGATACGTCTTTCTATAGCGAAGTGTTCAAAAAAGCTAAAAAAGTTGTAATCGATAATTTCGGAGGAGAGCCAGTATTGAGTTATGATGCAATCGACCACTTGGATTTCAGTAAAATGTTGTCTCTGTATAATTTATTTATGCAGTATGTTAAAGATTGTAATAAGTTCCCTACATTGATAGAATTTAAAGAGTTTGTGTTGAGAAAGAAACAATTTAAGGAGAATTTAGTGACAATTTTTCCGATGATTGTTTGTGATATCATTGAAAAAGTGTTCGTGAGTTATGAGAGCGTGATGGATGGTGTGAGCGTGGCCGAATTTATTGATGTTTGTAATAAGTATGTGAGTCGAATAGAACGAATAAAGGCTGAGAAAAAGATAGAGTTTGAGAGCGATGAAGGAATTTGTAAATTTATTTCTAACGAGGAATGCAAAGTTAAATTAATTAAGAGCAATAGCTTAAGTCCTTAAATATTAGGTGTTTCAGTAGGTACCTAATTAACTTGTAACTGATTACTTACTATTTATTAGTTGTATTTTACATACGATGAAGAGTACTTTTTAATATTTAATTTAGGTCATATTTGTTATACATTTTAGATAATTTGATTTATTTTCCATTATTGTTCGTATCATTGTTGTTATTAAAATTACCTAACCCTATTTACCTAAAAAATAATAATGGATCATGTTATTTCTGGAATGTCCAATTTATTGTACATCACAAGTCTCTATAAAAATATAATGTATCATATTTTTAAATAAATATTTTTTTAAATATGCAATGCGTTTGATCTTATAGACGTAAGTATCACATAGATGTAATGAACCCTTTTGGTAGGTACGTAGAATTAGATTGCAATATTTATGTCGCAGTTCCGCCCATTATGGATTGTTATGGAGTGATATTATTACAAGTCAAAGGTGTGGTGTGTTTGAAATAAATCAACTGTTTATTGTATGTATTAACTTTAAATTTATTTACAACGTAATCTTTACAATTTCAACCATTTATACAAAATATATCTTAGTTAACAAGGACTACTTTAATTATTATATTACAATCAGACCTCACTTCTGCATTACCGCTAAGTTAAAATAATATTAAGTACGATTGGAATGTCTACTATACCTGCGAGTTCTCTATCACATAACGGAATGGCAGAAATTCATTTCATCATTCACGAGACAAAATATACATTTTATCATAACGAATCCATCGACTTGAGGAAGCAATTTTGATAATATATTTATAGTATCATACATTTAGCTATGGTAACAATTTAAAATAGGATAATTACTTTTATTCTCTTAGTAGGCTTGCGTTTGACGTCACACAAAAGGTTCGAGAAGAGATTTTGAGCTAGCTGCATCAGAACATAAGCAATAAATAAACCTAAAACCTCAAGATGACATGACTCTTTTCTAGTTTGACTAGTCTAACAATATTATCGACATAAACAACAATAATATTCTTTAGTAAGTAGTAGGCACTGTCTAGTTTGCCGTCGAGGTACCCACAAAGAAAGTTAATTAGAACCAATAAAGTACATAATTGCATTTACACACATTGGTACAAGGTGAGCCGTTCAATATACATAGGTATGAATTTGTTCGATACAGTATCGATAGCATCACAGGAAACAATCAGCAATATACAACCTTATGGCTAACTACCTAACGTGCGAACTACGCCTCGTTATTGAGAATTACTGAATCCAATTTTTGGGTTATAACTTTTTGAAATGTCCTCTCACTTTTTTTTGAAGAATCACTAATGTCGTTAAGTTTTTGACTGTTTTCACTTTCGGAGCTCTTTGATGCTTCCTTCGCAGACGCTGTCTCTTCGACGGGCAGGACGCTTAGGTACGCGTCGTCTGGGACTACGTTTGTATCTGTTGCAAAGCTACCAGAAACCGTACTAGGCGGACTTAAAGAATCTTTTTCTGTAGTAGTCGTTTCAGTATTCTTACCAGAAACAAAGCCTTGGTCTAGATCTTCAGTGTCTTGTAAGAATGTAGATACAGGTGAAGTTTCGGGTAGAGAATTGTCTACGTTGGTATCATCAGGTTTCGCGTCTATTAGCGTCGTAGTTGTCTCTACTGTAACTTTGTGAGTTTCTACTTGTTGATCGTTGAACTCGCCAACTGATACGCTAGAATGCGTTGTTGTTTGAATGTTTTCATTTTCCTCAGCTGCTACTGTCACCGCCTCGTTGCTTGACGACCCATTCGTGTCTGAGGTGTTAAGCGTATGCTCCTCGCCGTTTTCGTTTTGTGTCTCATTTAAGTTAGTGGGTTCAAGATCGTGTCCTTCTTGAAGTTTTTTAACCAGTAATTTATTGTTTTCAGCTTCTGGTAAGAAAGGATTCATGTCTGATTCATGTTCAGACTCTGATTCAGCCGAGTGGGTGCCGGACTTTGCAGCATTGAAAGTTTGGTTTGCATTAGACACCTCGTATACGTTTACTTTTAAGTTATTGAACTGGGTTGAGCTAGGATTTTCTGAAGATTCAACGTCAGTTTTGACCTCTGCGTTCGTAGCCGGTGTAGTAGGAGAGGTTTCTGTGGCTAATTCAGCTTCTTCACTTGGTTTGTTTGCGGATGTAGCTGCAGGAATCTCGCTTGTAACCTTAGTTGATTCATCTTTGTTTCCTTCAGATTCTTCCCATACTGGTGCGGGGGCAGAATTAAGATCTAAAGTAGAATTTTCAGATGTCGATACCTCGCTTAAATTTTCAGTGGTGTTTATGTGTTCGGCGGCTTTGTAGATGTATTCACTCACAGTAGTGGTTTCGATATTCACCATTTGAGTGGTTTCCATTTTATTCATTGGAGTTGTAATCTCTGCAGACTCCATGGGTTTGGTGGTTGTGCCTTTGATATTTTCATCAACCCTTTTCACTCGTAGATCTTCATTGTCATAATCATGGGTCATGCCATATAAAGGAACATCAGTGTCTGCCATTTTACTTGTGGTGCCAAGGTTACTTAAGTAATCGGGTTCAAAGTCGTCTTTAGAATCACTGCGTGTAATAAGTTCGTCGATCTTGCTTACTGGATTCTCAGTGGTTTCATGCTTCTCCATTTTATTCATAGCTTCGTTGTAAGGAACTTCAGTAACTTTTTCAGACAGCCACTCAGTTTCAGTTGGTAATACTGTTGAATCGTTTACTGACATATTCGATTCTGGTGCAATTTCAGTCGTAGAATTTTCGTCATTTATTGATTTAGAAGAACGATTATAAAGCGCATTTATTGCGTCGAATGTAATAGGCATTGTATCATAATCATCCTTTAAATATTTTTCTGTAGTAGTTTCTTTAATTTCAGGTTCATCTACTTTGTTCAATGCTTGTACAAGTTCTTTATCTACTTCAGTTACTTTCATTGCCTTGTTAATTGAAAAGTCTGTAGTTGGTTCTGATTCTGTTGTAGTTGCCTGAATGGCATCAGTTTCCTTTACTTCCATGGTTTTTCCCTCATTCGTCAATGTATTCATTATGGACCCTTCCTCAGATGTCTCGCTTTCAATTTTTGTTTCGTTTTTAACTCCAGATTGCTCGTCAGCAGTATTGTCTAACGCCATAGTAGTGGGTTTTAATGAGGTGATTTGGATCAAACTTTCTTCTGACTTATCTTTATCGGTTAAAGGGTTATCAGTCGTCATCGGTTCGTCGTTACTTATTGTAGTCGCTGTTAATATTTCGTTTATATGATTTATACTATCGAAAGAAATATCATCATTTTTAGCTGTCGTTTCAGCTACTATCTCGTTATCGTTGTATGCAAAAGACCTTTGTTGCGATAGATCATAGTTAGCACCAACTTTGTTCATATCATGTTTTACATTTTCTAACCAATCAGTTTGCGTTGTCGTTTCAGTCTCAACATTTAATGGAACGTTGGATTCCGTGGTGGTAATTTCTGGAGGATTTTCAGCCTCTTCGCTGTTGTGGAGATATATTCCTTTATTTTGATATGACGTGGACTTAACTTCCAAAGTGTTTTCAGGTTCTCGGCTTTCATTTGATCCTGTGTCTTTCTTTGATTCCATTGTATTTGTATCAGTTTCCATCAATGGAACGGCTGGTTCCGCAGTGGGTTCGGGCTCTGGGTTCGGTTCCGGCTCAGCTTTTGGTTCTGGTTCTGCAGTCGGTTCAGGTTTAGCTTCTATTTCTGGTTCGATTTCTGAAGCTAGATCTGTTCCAGAGGCGGGTTCTGATTTTGGTTCAGAGGTAAGCTCTGATTCGTCAGCAGACTTAGGCTCAGCGGTCGGCTCAGGCTCAGCAATTGGTTTAGGTTCGGCGCTCGGTTCGGGTTCGGCATTCGGTTCGGGACTTGGCTCAGCGTTAGGCTCGGCGCTCGGTTCGGCGCTAGGCTCAGCAGTCGGCTCGGCGCTCGGCTCCGCGGTGGGTTCTGGAACGGCAGATGGTTCAGGTTCCGCAGAAGGTTCAGGCTCCGCATTTGGTTCCGGTTCTGCATTAGGTTCCGGTGCTGGCCCAGGTTCTTGTGAAGAATTATTTTCTTGTTCAGAGCTTTGTTCCGACTTCTGAGTTTCAGTTTCATCGGGTTTCTCGCTTGCATGACCAAATATGTGAGAATTATTTAAATCTGGTTCCGATTCAGTGGTCGTGGTTTGCATTGCATTCTGTGAGTCTTTCCAATCGAAGACTTGATCATGTCCACTGACCTGTACCGTGGCGGAATCTGGTTTTTCTTCTTCAGATACAGGTTTGCTTGTGGTAGGATTATCATCCAACGTAAGAACTCTGAACTCCTTCTGTTTAGTTAATTCGTCCAATTGTTGGTTAAATTGAACTTGTTCAGGGTTTTCGAAAATGTGCATGCATTTCTTGGGGTTGGTCATATCTAACATTTGTCCACGGGGGCATGTGCAAATGAAGTCTAGAGATGTTTGGTCAAACTCACATTCGTATTGGCAGTCGTTCTTGCTGATTTTGCACAAGTCGAGAACAGGCCTAGTTGGCATCTTTTCTTCTGAAATATGGTAAGTGCTGATCATCCTGTTATTTCTGTCGAGGTATTCGTTGAGGTTCGTCTCTAGTGTCTTTGTTGTTAGCAAATCTTCGTTAGGTTGAGCGTTGTTTTTCGGCTTCCAGTGAATTCTGTAGGTGACGATTAATGATCCCTTCCTGCAACAATAAATTAAAACATACATTTTAGTTTATTTATATTTTATGACTAGCGGCCGCCCGCGACTTCGTACGCGTGGATCCCGTTTTACCCCCTTCATCTATCTTACGCGGTTTAGATTTTTTCATACAAATGTTTTTTCCCGCTAACTCCCGTTCCCGTGGGAATTTTGCAATATACTGTTGAACCTAAGCTTTAAGTTTACTAAGGTACCTGCATGCCAAATTTCAAGCGTCTAACTTAAGCGGTTTAGATTTTTCATACAAAAGGATTTTCCCGCTAATTCCCGTTCCCGTGGGAATTTCGGGAATTCCTTGTTGTAACTAAGCTTTAAGTTTACTAAGGTACCTAAATGCCAAATTTCAAGCGTCTAACTTAAGCGGTTTAGATTTTTCATACAAAAGGATTTTCCCGCTAATTCCTGTTTCCGTGGGAATTCCTAAGTATACTATAACCTGCCCAGGAGTATGAAGAATAATTGTACCAAGTTTCGTTAAAATCCGTCCTGTAGTTTTTGTTTCTATAAGGAACATACAGACAGACAGACAGACAAAAATTTTACTGATTGCATTTTTGGCATCAGTATCGATCACTAATCACCCCCTGATAGTTATTTTGAAAATATATTTCATGCACAGAATTGACCTCTCTACAGATTTATTATAAGTATTGATAATGTGGCAAACGTTTACCTTGGATAGGCAGTAATAGGCATGGTTTTGGAGAATCAATGGGAGGTTATTTGTTTACCAGATTGGCAATAACGTTACACAAATATTTTGTTGAAAATTATCGATACCTGCCTATTATAATATTCGATTGTATTTGTAAGAGAATAGGCAACCGTTGCAACGCGTTGTATACGCATTAGTTTTAATAACCTTGTTAAAAATACATAAAATTTTCCACGTCTAAAAAGGCTAAAATAATAATCATCTTTTATAGCCTAACCGTTAAGTATTACAGAATATCATAGTTATTTACCTTATGCCTACAACTTCGACAGTGATGTCCTGATCGCCTTGGTCAAGTGTGTTCCGGTCGAACAGAGCGCGCTTCAGGGCCTCGGTGAAGGTCGACGTGAACTGCCGATACTCCATGCTCTCCGGGTCTTCCATTTCGGGTTTGTATTCTTCATTGTCGATGGTCAGTTCACCTTCTACCGTCCTTGGAACTGGAAAGATAATGTATTGTTTTTTATTACAAACAAAGTCATAAATAGCTATTTGGATGTTAATAGTTATATTTAATCTTAAATATTTTTCAATGTGAAGATTGGCTACAAAATAGAATGCGATATGATATCCAAAGATCCTGGGTTCATTATGATAATACTATGACTAAACCTGCAATATTTGACGATCCTGACGCGCAGTGGCGCGATAAACGCTCAAAGGATCCAGGGTTTGATTTCTGATTAGATGCTTGTAAAATTAATATAATGATGATTTATTTAGCCATCATCATGATTATGATAATGTAAGTGGAATATTAAAATGACGTACCGTACATAGACGAATCCGTAATTTCGTCAGATCCCATGGAGTGGTCGATTCCTTCATCATTTTGAGTTTCGACAAGCTGTGGCTGTATAGTTGTTTCCAGCTTCGGTTCAGCTTTGTCGGTGCTTTCTTGGCTGCTGTGTTCGTGGCTGCTGTGGTCGTGGCCGCTATGGTCATGGCTGCTGTGGTCGTGGCCGCCATGGTCGTGGCCGCTATGGTCATGGCCGCTGTGGTCATGCATGCTGTGGTCCTGTTCGTCGTCAGATGATCCGATGCCGCCCAGCGCGCGAGCAGAGCTAATAGACGAGTTGTATTGCTCCAAGGTCGTCGGGGAGTTCGTGAACAGTACGCCAGCTGGAAGTAAAAACGTATTTTTTAAGCGCTGATAAAAAAAAAGTTATCTATGAACTAAAAAACACCCACCATTAATCGCACTAACATTAATTTGGCCTTTGCGGAATTAAAATTCAGTAAAAAAAGCTATATTAACAAGTATACCTAAGGTATAATTTATTTGTACGTGAGTAGGTAGGTATAGCTATAGCTAAGTCTTTTTGTAGTTTGATTGTCAAAGTAGTTTTTTAAATGGCGCTTATGGAAAATATATTTTAACAATATTCATTATGTGTGATACCAGGAAAAATGTAATCTAGGGGGGGAAATGCTAAGCTTAGTCAGCGAGTATAATAATACGAAGTAATTAGTGTTTATTCTGTGATAATATTCAACATTCAACACAATGTGTATGTTTGTTGGTCAATACCTACAAAATATTTATTTCTAATGAGATGACGTCACCCAGATATCCCCAACACGACCCGTGTTTTATGGGCCATTCCCGTATTTTTTTTTATATTCTTATCTTAATTACCTAGCCTCAAACTAAGCTAGTAAACAACACCAAAACACTGGCTGTGTAATTGATTAACACCCGTATTCACAAACATTGCTATGAGGTCTCACTGTGTGCGTGCACGCACAGGGTGACACACGAACCAATGGTTTTTGAAAATTACAACTCTATTTTATGTAGGTTTGTGTTTTTGTTTTAATGATGAATTAATTTTGATAAAGGTGACACACCAATCACCAATTTTAATTACCTTAAGTACCACTTAGCCTAATCAATCAGTATCAGTTATGAACTTATCAGTACCTACATAAAAATGAGGTAAGCGCACCCATTTTGAGGCGCACCTAAACTATTCCTCGAAGCGCAGCATGTTTATTTATTTATTTATTTATTTATTCATTTGCAATAACATATTCAGCACATACAGGTATACATGCATTCATACATTGACCCTGTAAGGGTGTAGCAAAGTTACATTTACTTATTTAATACTAGTTAACATCTACGAATTAAATTAATGTTATGTTTCCTTGGTACTTTTTATTCATCTTAATTGGAAAGTTCAAAATCTTTATATTAGTAAGAATAGGGTGTGCTTCGAGGAATAGTAATGTAGGAGCGGTTCATTAGGTGCGCCTCAAAATGGGTGCGATTCGAGGAATCAAATTCTCTAGAGATGACACAGACAGTCGGGACGGCATGCAATAATTTATTATTAGTAGTGATTATTGTGTGGGCAGTCCAGGTAGGTACAGGGCCGGATTAAGTTCTATAATTTAATATTTTTTGTTAGTAGATGAAAAGGGCCCCGGATAATAAGCTACCTTTTTACCCGACTGCACCAGAAGGAGGGTTATGTTTTTAGCTATTCAAACGGAATGAATAGGAAGAAAGGATGACAATTCTATGTGGCAATAAGTTCGCATTTTACATTCGTGTAATAATGTTAAAATTAAATTATAAACAATAATATAAGTATATGATGATAAATTCAGTGCCGTAACTAGGGCGGTGCCAGCGGTGCCCAGGCACAGGGCGCAGACCCTGGAGGGGCGCAGAAATGACCAGACCAAGCATTTTTCAAGGGCGCAGTTTTGAAAGCTCGCACCGGGCGCATAAAAGGCTAGTTACGGCACTGGATAAATTGCACAACTAGAAAATTGTTATGCAATAGTGTACACTGCACGATGGTATTTTGTATTTTCATTTCATAATATTTCAAAATATTGCATTATACGAGTGCAACATTGTGTAATACTTATTATTATGTTGTAAGCATTGAAATTTTGGGCTTTTGTGTGGGTTCATTTTAAATACAATACAAAATGATTATTAATAAGTATTATCAGTAAGGTAATGTTTTATTTAATTCTTGATAGTAGGTATAATTTAATTAAGTATGGCCAGGATCTACGATGATTAATATTTTAATATTAGGAAGTTTTCTTTGAAATATTTGTTAATTTACACTACGTGTAAGTACAATAGGCTCCATAAAAATTGAAAAATTATATCATTACTAATGAACAAAGGCATATTTCAGGCGGTACGAAGTTCGCCGGATCAGCTAGTTTACAATAGATTCTTGTAAGCATAGTAATAATTTCTGAATATACACACATATCGCTATATTATTATGTATGCTTTTTAAATAGCCCCTTACATCCTGTATAGGCAGTATTGGGAACGTGCGAAGTGGGTGGAAGGGGTAAAGAAAACGAGTGCCCAGATTTGTACGTGAGTAGGTAGGTATAGCTATAGCTAAGTCCTTTTGTAGTTTGATTGTCAAAGTAGTTTTTTAAATGGCGCTTATGGAAAATATATTTTAACAATATTCATTATGTGTGATACCAGGAAAAATGTAATCTAGGGGGGGAAATGCTAAGCTTAGTCAGCGAGTATAATAATACAAAGTAATTAGTGTTTATTCTGTGATAATATTCAACACAATTAGGTACTACTATTATTTATTCTGGGACACAATGTGTATGTTTGGTCAATACCTACAAAATATTTATTTCTAATGAGATGACGTCACCCAGATATCCCCAACACGACCCGTGTTTTATGGGCCATTCCCGTATTATTATATTCTTATCTTAATTACCTAGCCCCAAACTAAGCTAGTAAACAACACCAAAACACTGGCTGTGTAGTAATAGTAATATTTTTTTATATTAATTGATTAACACCCGTATTCACAAACATTGCTATGAGGTCTCACCGTGTGCGTGGACGCACAGGGTGACACACGAACCAATGGTTTTTGAAAATTACAACTCTATTTTATGTAGGTTTGTGTTTTTGTTTTAATGATGAATTACCAATCACCAATTTTAATTACCTTAAGTACCACTTAGCCTAATCAATCAGTATCAGTTATGAACTTATCAGTACCTACATTTGTGAAAGTCACAATATCAAAATGAGGTAAGCGCACCCATTTTGAGGCGCACCTAATGAAGCGCACCTAAACTATTCCTCGAAGCGCAGCATGTTATGTTTCCTTGGTACTTTTTATTCATCTTAGTAGTTGGAAAGTTCAAAATCTTTATATTAGTAAGAATAGGGTGTGCTTCGAGGAATAGTAATGTAGGAGCGGTTCATTAGGTGCGCCTCAAAATGGGTGCGATTCGAGGAATCAAATTCTCTAGAGATGACACAGACAGTCGGGACGGCAATAATTATTAGTAGTGATTATTGTGTGGGCAGTCCAACGGGGTAATCCCAACCAGTTTCCCTTTTTAAACGTTAAGATAACATTTAAAAAAAGTTAACAAGTTGAAAACAAAATCTCGGCTGTTGGTCGCTTAAGCAACAGGTCCGGTCCTGGGTTCGATTCCTGGGAGGAACAAGATGAAAATTGTACTTATATTAATAAGCTTTTTTCTCGTGTACTTATTCATCATCATCATCATCATTCCAGCCACAGGACGTCCACTGCTGAACATAGGCCTCCCCCAATGACTTCCACAAGGTGGACCGACGACCTGATAAAGGTAGCTGGAAGGCGCTGGATGCAGGCCGCTACCAACCGTGCGATGTGTACTTAGTAATCCTTACTAAAGAAATAAATTAGTCTCGTAACTTTATAACTACTTTAAGTTTTTTGTTTGTAAGTAGATACTTATCAGGGGCGTAGATGTGCCGTATGAATGATACGAGGTACAGGGCCGGATTAAGTTCTATAATTTAATAATTTTTGTTAGTAGATGAAAAGGGCCCCGGATAATAAGCTACCTTTTTACTCGACTGCGCCAGAAGGAGGGTTATGTTTTTAGCTATTCAAACGGAATGATTAGGAAGAAAGGAAAGGACATGACAATTCTATGTGGCAATAAGTTCGCATTTTACATTCGTGTAATAATGTTAAAATTAAAATTATAAACAATAATATAAGTATTATGATGATAAATTGCACAACTAGAAAATTGTTATGCAATAGTGTACACTGCACGATGGTATTTTGTATTTTTATTTCATAATATTTCAAAATATTGCGTAATACGAGTGCAACATTGTGTAATACTTATTATTATGTTGTAAGCATTGAAATTTTGGGCTTTTGTGTGGGTTCATTTTAAATACAATACAAAATGATTATTAATAAGTATTATCAGTAAGGTAATGTTTTATTTAATTCTTGATAGTAGGTATAATTTAATTAAGTATGGCCAGGATCTACGATGATTAATATTTTAATATTAGGATGTTTTCTTTGAAATATTTGTTATTTACACTACGTGTAAGTATAATAGGCTCCATAAAAATTGAAAAATTATATTATTACTGATGAACAAAGGCATATTTCAGGCGGTACAAAGTTCGCCGGATCTGCTAGTTTACAATAGATTTGTGTAAGCATAGTAATAATTTCTGAATATACACACATATCGCTATATGTATGCTTTTTAAATAGCCCTTTACATCCTGTATAGGCAGTATAGGTGTCTATGCATACAAACAATCAAGGCACTCATATACATACAGCGTCAAATAGTTCATAGTTCGTATGTATAGAGATGAGACGTATTTACTAGAACAGATCCACACACTAGGTATTTTACAGTACTAGGCGGCACCTATTCCAATTTTTTAAATACTTGATCCACCTAGTATTTTATAAATTACACGATTTCCGACCCTACCAGCAAAGTAATAGAGGTTATTATTGCGTAATCCGTAGTCGTGTATTACGCGCACCTTGTATTTCTCGCTTTCTCCTAGTAAGCTTATGTGCGAACGTAGAGATTCACTCCGTCTCTGTCTGACCAAACAAATTTGAGCGCGACGAAGCAAACGCACACAAACGTAGTCAAACCATAATAATATTTATGTAAATAAGAAAAAATGTGTAAATATTTTTATGAAAGTGACATCTTTTAAATACGCCAACTTTTAAGTTGACAGTCCTAAGCCTGTTGAAGTATGAAGGGAGGAATTATTATTCAATTTCAAATTGCATTATTCATAATACGGTTGTATCTTTTAAAAAAAAATGTATTTTAAAGTCATATTACGTGGATTAGTCCGCACTAGTCACGTCAAGTATGCTAAATTACTACGTACTAGGTGGAATAGGTATTTGGATCGAGTATTAATAAATACTAGGAATAGGTTCACCTAGTATCAAATTGACCTAGTATGACCCATCTCTAGTATCGTAACACCCAAAATATCCAATAACTTCGCAACACTTCTTTGTAACAATAGAATAATGTTGTGTTGTCATCTTTTTTACCACTTTAGGTGTTACGAACTATTTGACGCTGACTACCAAGTTACCGGCTACCAAGCAGGCGTATTTACAAAACATTAACAAAAGTGATATAATCTGTTGAAATCCTACGCACACTGAACTGAGTCATCAATAACACAACAACACAACAGAGTCAGAGTGGCAATGGATGGAGCCGAATTACCTACCTATACTTTTTTTTCGGTAAAAATATTATTAAGTATGTAGAAAATTTATTTTTTATTTAAGAGAGAAAGGTATTTATTTGGATTTGGTTCATAACAAAAAGTCACCCAGTTTAAAAATATGTAGTATTCGAAAAGCTGGTTTGAGCTGGAAGACCAGACATTATACCATTTTTGGCAATAACTTTGAATAAATATGTTCATGGCATTCATATCCTGCAGTTACTTGTGACAGTCGACACTTAAAGCTTATTTACACGCATTAAGTTGTTAAGTAGGCAACATCATTTTAAGTGATTAAATTGCATGTAGGTAAAGCAACTAAATTCTGAGTTTAATTAGTCACTTAAAATTAACTTAACATTTAGTTACCGCTTATTTCGTGCAAACCAGCCTTTACTGCCATGATATAGTTACATAAAATCTAGGTGCCCCTTGTAAGTGTGCAAAATAATTGTGTTTGTAGGTATTTACGAGTATAAACCTACCTTTATAAGTAATCTAATCATGCTTGTGTGTACAATTGATACATATAAAAATTGTAGTTTTAATAATAAAATATATTTTGTTTAACTCCACTGCTCCTCTGTTTCGTTTTGCGCATACTCGTTTAAATAAACCCCGCTCGTTGCACGCTCGTTCCATCAGTCTGCACGGGGCCGCGCCACTCGGTCCGTGTTGTTGGTCCCGAGACGCATTAGCAAAATGGTTAATTACTTTATTTACGCGAAAGATTTTTCGGGTTCGACAAACCGTGTCCCATATTATCACGAAAATGGACTCAAAACTCTCGAAGAATTTAAACGTGACGTGAACTGTATAAAAAGTGAATTACCAGTGACTGAAGAATCAAAAATAATTTATTTACACTGGGGGCACATGTGTGAGGAGATCGACGAAAGTACTGCTGTTAGCACATACAGTGAAATGATCGGAGATGGTACGGATACCTTACCAGGAACAATTATAAAGTGGATAAAAGAAAACATTGCTGGCGATAAAATTAAATTGCTGTACATCATAACTGATGGTCTCATACGCCAAAGCAGTGTACACACTTGTTTAAAACTTAATGAAAATGTTTATTATGAGTCTGTTGTTTTTTACGGAATAAATGAAAACTTGGATTCTATCGACTTATCGGTCGCCTCGTCGTTTTTGAAAGGCCGATGTAAAATTTACCGCAACTGTGAATTATTGGATAACATCGATATTTCTGAACAACGTGACTATAGTACAATAACTATCGACAACTTCTCTACTGAAAAAGAAGAACTGAAATCGTATATCAAATTAAAGTACCTAAATTCAAAAGAAAGAAGTGAGACGGCTCTCAGAGAAATTGAAGAGCTGAAGAAGCTGAGGAAGAGATTGTTCAATGACTTATCGGCGATAAAAATAACTTCCAACTTGGACACTAAGGATAAAACCACATTTTTAAGCGAATTCAAGAAAACAAACTGGTACAAAATTCTGACCAGCGGGGTTGACTATGACATAAGAATAGATATTGACAAATCTATCACAACTTTAATTAATTACATCATGAGTGACAAAAAGTCTTATTCCTTCGACGCTTTGAAATTCAAAATCAATTACAGCAATGTGGTTCCTGAAGAAGAGATTGTTGATGTCGATTTCGAAACCGACCAAGAGATAGAGTTTCCGGACATCATTCTAGATGACGAGAAAGGAATACCTGTAATACTAATTACAGAGTTAAATCTTCTGGACAAGATTATCTTTCATGCCAATACAGAGGCAGCCCCGGCGCCGGCGAGTTTCTCGAAATTCAAATCCACGATGGAGTGTCCATTGTTTTTATTGAACGATACCGATCTGAATGAGACAATCGGTTACTTTTATACCTTGAATGTCTACAAACAATTACTAGAAAAAACTTCAAGGGAAGAACCTCGTACAAGAAGACCATACCACGGCGGCCTAGTGCTCGTGAATACGGGTGACTTCGATAAATATAATGATTACATTTTATCAGCGACATACTTTAACTCCAAAAAAGTAAAGTACAATATTGGTTTGTTTTACTACGTGTTGTGGAAGATTTGTGAAAAGAAGCAGTGGATGGACAAAAACGTGCTTGAACAGTTCAGGAAGTACATGCTAAGGCGTGTAAGTACCACAGTTTGCAGAATTGGACTGTCATCACTGCCATTAGACCCCCCAGAACATACCTCATTACCCACCGCACTGTGGTACTGCGTTGAATTGTCCACAGTCATCTTTCAAAGTGATCCTGCCAATTTTTCACACGAACGATTGAGAATGTACCACGGCGTAGCGCATCGTATGATTGAAATTTTGAAGTATCTGGAGTATGACTTAGATTTGAAATCTATAAAGAAACGAGTAGATTTAATCAGGCATGTAATGACTTTGAAGAAGATTCCAAATCAGAAGGATAAAGTTTGTTATTTGTTAGAGAAAGCATTAAAAAAGAAAGACGGTTTCCTGGTTTGTGAAATACAAAATTCTGAGAATTTGAAGAAACTGAATTACTTGAAACTGAACCACAAGGAAATGTTAGTTGATAATATCGAAGAGAGGGTTATCTTGAATGACTATATTTACACTCTGCATGACATCGATGACTCAGAGCTACAGATCTGCGAAACAACGTTCCGGCCCTATTTTATGATAGACCAAAACACATCTTACTACACCGAAATGTACAGGAAAGCTAAGAAAGTTGTAATTTGTTATGTCAAAAAGGATATTGTGGTTAAATACAAGCCTCTTGATAAATTGGAATTCGACAGAGTTTTGTCATATTACAATTTGTTTTTGCGTTGTGTAAGAGACCACAAAAAATATCCTACGTTGGAGGAATATAAAGCATATGTTTTGAAAAGGAAAGCGTTTAAGGACGATGTAGTGACCATTTTCCCAACAACTGTGATTGAAAGTATAGAAAAGGTATTCCGGAGCTATGAGAACCTACTAAAGGATGTTAGTGTTAGTGATTTTTTTAAAGTGTGTGATACGTATATAGACCGGATTGCGAGGATCAAATCTGAGAATGTAAGGCAGTTTGAGACAGATGATGAAATTAATGCTTTTATTAATGTAGAGGAGCGTAAAGTCAATCTGGTGAAAATTGTTCCTAAACCCAATAAACAACGCAAACGGATTGTGTTACAGGCACCTCCGAAACCGAAACCAAAACCAAATCCCTACCGTTCGCGTCGGACGTATGTCCAGCGAAGACGTATTCGTCGTCCCACTGTTGTAATGCATCAAAATTATCATGATAATAATTATCATCATGATAATGATGATTATGATGATGATAATTATCTTCCATCGACGTTAACGTTTCACTCAGAGTATAATTATGTTTTTTTAAAACGCCATAACTACATATAACTAGTTGTATAGTTATCGTTTCTTAGTAGGTATGTGATAAAATTTAAGTAGTTGTTTATGTATAAGAAAATGTGATTTGTTGCCAATTATGTCACAATTAGAACTGTTATTGTTGACGCAGCGTCAATGACGCTAGAACTGAAAATGTTTCTCTTATAAAGTTTGAATGAGTGAATGACTTGTTTAAAAGCACTGAATTTAGATATTAAAAACTAGCTGTAAGATTATTGTCATTAATCAAAACGTTTTAGATCCAGTTAATTATTATGTAAAACTCAAATTACTCATTGTATTCTTGTAACAGAAATACAGATCTAACTAGTCAACTAGGTACCTACTGTGTCTAAGATTTTAAACTTTGTCTATTTTAATTGTTTCGAAGCGATAGTAGGTAGTTGAAAATATTATTGTTTCTGACTGTTTGTAAGGTTTTTGTAAATATGTAGTATGTGTTTAGTAAAAAAAGATTAAAATATTATCATCAACTTATTTTTGTAGTTTTGTTTCCTTGACCCATCCATAGCAAGTGTAATCAGGTATCTACTGATATTTTTTATTTTACATATTTATTATCTATCAGGCGAGAGCTACAATTTTTTTTAAATCACTAAACCCCTTAGCCAAAATAATATTGTATGTAGTCCATAGTATATCGCGCCAAAAGAAAGTGTTAATTTTGTAACTCACTACATAATATAAAACAAAGTCGCTTTCCTGTCCGTCTGTATGTATGCTTAAATCTCAAATGGGAAGTTTGTCTAACCTTCCGCCAAACACCCTGTATATTTAGACGGACTACTTAAAGTCACTTTTGACCCTTTATCACTCAAAAACTATTTTACACTAGCTGACCCGGCGAACTTCGTACCGCCTTAGCGTAGAGATTTTCTTAATATTTTTTTCCGTAAGAACCATCCTTGGACTTCCACAAACATTTAAAAAAAAGAATTATCGAAATCGATTCAGCCGTTCACACGTGATGCCGTGACAACGCGAAACGGGTTTCATTTTTATATATATAGATTACTAGCTTTCCGCCCGCGGCTTCGCCCGCGTGGAATTTTGTCTGTCACAGAAAAACTTTATCGCGCGCGTCCCTGTTTCAAAAACCGGGATAAAAACTATCCTATGTTCTTTCCCGGGACTCAAACTATCTCTATGCCAAATTTCATCAAAATCGGTTGCGAGGTGTAAGCGGGAAAGCGTAACAGACAGACAGACAGACAGAGTTACTTTCGCATTTATAATATTAGTTGGGATTATGTCTTTGGCTCATACTCGTATATTGCAAGATAAACATTAGCTTCAAATTTTATAAATAACGATTAACGGCAAACTATAGTACTAGACATAGAAAATCTTGACTAACTCACCTGTAACATTAACTTTATCTGTGACAGATTAAAATTTCGCGCAGGCGAAGCCACGGACAAAAGCTAGTGCATTAAATTCAAATTCGAGGCTTCCGGCGACTGGGACCGCAATTAACTGGGACCGCGGTCCCAGTCGCCGGATGCGTAAAAATTAAACAATTTTCTTCCGGCGACTGGGACCACTCATAGATAACTTTAAAGAAAATATTATTCAATCCAAAAGCGGTACAGTACTAAAATTCTTGAGTGGTCCCAGTCGCCGGAAGAAAATTATTTAATTTTTACGCNGATGCGTAAAAATTAAACAATTTTCTTCCGGCGACTGGGACCACTCATAGATAACTTTAAAGAAAATATTATTCAATCCAAAAGCGGTACAGTACTAAAATTCTTGAGTGGTCCCAGTCGCCGGAAGAAAATTATTTAATTTTTACGCATCCGGCGACTGGGACCGCGGTCCCAGTTAATTGCGGTCCCAGTTGACGGAATCCTCTTAAATTCATGGTAACAATTAGATAGGTACATTAAGTGCCAACAATCTAGATAGGTAGCCGGCTTATTGAGATACAAAATGTGAACAAAAATGATAAAAATATACAGAATGGAATTTTGTAATACCACCTGACGGGAAAGTACTCATAGAAGTTTTTACTTCAAGAAAACTTTAATTTTTTGGAAATCTTTGAATGCAGTTACTCTTTCTTTTTAAAAATAAATGAACGTTTTCTTTAAGTTAAGTTTTACTACTTACCACATTATTAAAAGTACTTTCCCTCCAGGTGGTATTACAAAATTCCAATCATAGATTATTATTATAGGTATTCAAATTTGGATACTAACACAAAAGTCACCCTGTATGTAGTTATTCTACACACACTGATTCCTAGACTGAGTCACGACTGATTGAGGTCATAGACTGAGTTGAGTCACCATTAGTCGAGTTTTTCCTCAGCAACACATTAACAGAGTAGTAATAGAGTCGAATTACCTATGAAATTAGCGTTTTGTATAGATAATTTCACGAAAATTCGGATATTTTTTTATTTCGGATATCCGAAAGTTTCGGTTACGGTTACGGATATCTGTGCTTTAGAATGCAATTTGCAATAGTTGTTCATTCATGGCCGCACACTTACATCGAATAAAAAGCAATAAAAAAATAAAAATGGATACTAGATGGCATTATAAAGGTAAATCAGGCTGTTATGCCTTTACATACACCACTACATTTTTATCACCGAAAAAATTTTAACAGTTTATGTTGAAACGTGTGAAAAATGTAAAGCAAAAGAAAAATAAATGTTTTTCATAAAGTTAATTTGTTTATAAAATTTTCTTTAGTCCGTATTTTACGCGTCACAGCTGGGTCACTCCGCTGCTCACTAGAGTAGTCGTACGCGCTCGCATATTGCCCCGATCTGTCTGTCTCGCTCACGCCTCGACTACGCTTCCAGTGTTATTATTACATACTTAGCTAACTTAGACCATGTAAACCGTTACGGTTACGGTTTCAGATATTTTTTTTATTTCGGATATCCGAAAGTTTCGGTTACGGATATCCATAACATCCCTGGCACATAGCTCGTAGAGACGATGTCTGTCGGGGCATAAAAGTTCTCGAGTGGCGACCACGGGCTGGAAGACGTAGCGTAGGCAGGCCTCCTACTAGGTAGACCGACGATCTGGTGAAGGTCGCGGGAAGAGCCTGGATGCGGGCAGCGCAGGACCGTTCATTATGGAAAACCTTGGGGGAGGCCTTTGTCCAGCAGTGGACGTCATTTGGCTGAAACGGTGTATGCAAATAGTATACTGAGAATACTGAGTTATGGCGTCATACGTGCTAGACCAATTAACTGCTTACTTAATGATTGCAAAGCTACTAAGATTCGAACTACCTTTAAAAATATACATATAAATCATACGTTACCGGTGAAATAAAACGCGTGTAATTTTGTGTTAAAAAAAATAAAACATTATGTTCGACTCCAATACTCCTCTGTTTCTTTTTTGCAGCGCGATTGTAACGTCATAATATCTAATACCCCGCCCGCGCATCGCTCGTTCCACATCAGTCTGCACGGGGCCGCGCCACTCGGTCCCTGTGTTGTTGGTCCCAAGACGCTTTAGCAAAATGGTTAATTATTTTATTTACGCGAAAGATTTTTCGGGTTCGACAAACCGTGTCCCATATTATCACGGAAATGGACTCAAAACTCTCGAAGAATTCAAACGTGACGTGAACTGTATGAAAAGTGAATTACCAGTGACTGAAGAATCAAAAATAATTTATTTACACTGGGGGAACATTTGTGAGGAGATCAACGAAAGTACTGCTGTTAATACATATAATCAATTGATCGGAGATGGTGGAGGTACCTTACCAGAAACAATTATAGAGTGGATAAAAGAAAACATTGCTGGCGAATACAAAATTAAATTGCTGTACATTATAACCGATGGTCTCATATGCCCAAGCAGTGTACAGACTTGTTTAAAATTTAATGANAAAATTTGCTCTTCGGTCTTACGAGGTTAACTCCAAAAAAGTAAAGTACAATATCGGTTTGTTTTACTACGTGTTGTGGAAGATTTGTGAAAAGAAGCAGTGGATGGACAAAAATGTGCTTGAACAGTTCAAGAAGTACATGCTAAGGCGTGTAAGTACCACGGTTTGCAGAATTGGACTGTCATCACTACCACTGGACCCTACAGAAAATACCTCATTACCCACCGCACTGTGGTACTGCGTTGAATTGTCCACAATCATCTTTCAAAGTGATCCTGCCAATTTTTCACACGAACGATTGAGAATGTACCACGGCGTAGCGCATCGTATGATTGAAATTTTGAAGTATCTGGAGTATGACTTATATTTGGAATCTATAAAGAAACGAGTAGATTTAATCAGGCATGTAATGACTTTGAAGAAGATTACAAAGCAGAAGGACAAAGTTTGTTATTTTTTAGAGAAAATATTTAAAAAGAAAGACGGTTTCCTGGTTTGCGAAATACAAAATTCTGAGAATTTAAAGAAACTGAATTACTTGAAACTGAACCACAAGGAAATGTTAGTTGACAACATCGAAGAGAGGGTTATCTTGAATGACTATATTTACACTCTGCATGACATCGATGACTCAGAGCTACAGATCTGCGAAACAACGTTCCGGCCCTATTTTATGATAGACCAAAACACATCTTACTACACCGAAATGTACAGGAAAGCAAAGGATGTTGTAATTTGTTATGACAAAAATGATATTGTGGTCAAATACAAGCCTTTGGATAAATTGGAATTCGACAGAGTTTTGTCATATTACAATTTGTTTTTGCGTTGTGTAAGAGACCGCAAAAAATATCCTACGTTGGAGGAATATAAAGCATATGTTTTGAAAAGGAAAGCGTTTAAGGACGATGCAGTGACCATTTTCCCAACAACTGTGATTGAGAGTATAGAAAAGGTATTCCGGAGCTATGAGAAACTATTAAAGGATGTCAGTGTTAGTGATTTTTTTGAAGTGTGTGATAAGTATATAGACCGGATTGCAAGGATCAAAGCTGAGAATGTAAGGCAGTTTGAGACAGATGATGAAATTAATGATTTTATTCAAGCAGAGGAGCGTAAAGCTAATTTGGTGAAAATAGTTCGTACGAGTAAACCCAATAAACGACGCAAACCGATGGTTCCACCGGTGCCGAAACCGATGATACCAAAACTTTATTCCCGTCATCCTCGATGGCCGTATTTTCAGCGAAGACGTAGACCGATGTGAGTGGTTCACTCAAACTCAATATGGTCGTAAAATATGTCACCATAACTAGCGTAACTAGTTGTATAGTTTCTTAGTAGTTTGTTTATATAAATATGATAATTAATCATAATTTGTTGCTATGTTACACTGTTATTAAATGCTTTAACTACAAAGTATGTACTATAAATGTTTGTATCTTAGAATTTAAATAAGTGAATAACTTATAAGCACTGATTTTAGATATTGAAAACTAGCTGTAAGATTTTTGTTGGAGATCCAAATGTCATAGATCAATCCGAGCTAATTATTATGTAATACTCAAATCACTCAAATGTATTGTGTTGTAACAGAAATACATACAATAAACTAGTCAATGTAACACTCAACATCAAATCACTCAATGTGTTGTTGTAACAGAAATGCAAATAAACTAGTCAGATACCTACTTATTACAAACTTACTACAATTAACACGTTAAACCCTAGTGACAAGCTAAATGCTTGTCACTGGGGTTTAACGCGGGTTCACCACAATAGTCCAGTGCAGCGAAGGGGTTCAAACCCGCGCCGCGTTCCCCGGACCCCGGATCACGACTCAGTCACAACTCAGTGAGTCCGACACTTTCGGCTATGAGGATCAGTACTGTTGTAGAAAATTCAATAAAACTAGTATCTACGTTAATCTTTAAGACATGAGAAAGATATATCTTTTTGAATTATCCAAATCGGACCATTACTNTTACTACACCGAAATGTACAGGAAAGCTAAGAAGGTTGTAATTTGTTATGTCAAAAAGGATATTGTGGTTAAATACAAGCCTCTTGATAAATTGGAATTCGATAGAGTTTTGTCATATTACAATTTGTTTTTGCGTTGTGTAAGAGACCGCAAAAAATATCCTACGTTGGAGGAATATAAAGCATATGTTTTGAAAAGGAAAGCGTTTAAGGACGATGTAGTGACCATTTTCCCAACAACTGTTATTGAATGTATAGAAAAGGTATTCCGGAGCTATGAGAACCTAGTGAAGGATGTCAGTGTTAGTGAATTTTTTGAAGTGTGTGATAAGTATATAGATCGGATTGCAAGGATTAAAGCTGAGAATGTAAGGCAGTTTGAGACAGATGATGAAATTAATGCTTTTATTAATGTAGAGGAGCGTAAAGCCAATCTGGTGAAAATGGTTCCTAAACCCAATAAACAACGCAAACGGATTGTGCAACAGGCACCTCCGAAACCGAAACCAAAACCAAATCCCTACCGTTCGCGTCGGACTTATGTCAAGCGAAGACGTATTCGTCGTCCCAATGTTGTAATGCATCATAATCATCATGATAATTATCTTCCATCGACGTTAGCGTATCACTCAGAGTATATGTATTTTTAAGACACCATAACTAGTTGCATAGTTATCGTGCTTTAGTATGTGATATATATAGTTTAGTTGTTTATCTATAGGAAAATTGTGATTTGTTGCCAGTTATGTCACAATATACAACTGTTATTGTAGACGCTAAAGAACTGAAAATGTTTTTCTTATAAAGTTTGAATGAGTGAATAACTTGTTTAATTAAAAGCACTGAATTTAGTTATTAAAAACTAGCTGTAAGATTATTGTCATAGATCAAAAAGTTTATGATCCAGTTAATTATTATGTAAAACTCAAATTACTCATTGTATTCTTGTAACAGAAATGCAGATCTAACTAGTCAGTACCTCCTGTGTGTAAGATTTTAAACTTTTTATATTTTAATTGTTTTCAATCGATAGTTGGTAGTCAAAAATATTATTTTTTCCGTTGGTAAGGTTTTTGTAAAAAGTATCTTTTTCGTTTAAGATTAAATAATTATCAACTTATTTTTGAAGTTTTATTTCTTTTTTTGAAAATTATAAATAACTTAAAAACATCGAACTGCCTAAGGCGGGAATTGAACCCACGACCTTCCGCTTAACGGGCGACATCTCTTCCAATTAAATCCTTCTTTTATTTCTTTGTTTGATACCCATCCGAAGGCGCCGATGGAGATGGCAAAAAGCCGAAGCTGCGGAAGCAAGCGTGGGTGCCTGAGCCTCGTTACGCAAGGACGGAAGGGCTGCACATCCCGCAGCGCCGGAGACGAGGAGATAGCAATGCATGGATGCATGCTGCATGCTCTGCATGCTTATCTACTTTGTTAAATGATATTATTTGAATTTAAAAAAAATGTCTGTTATAAAGTAAGTTATTCTGAACAATGACTTTATGAGTTGAAGTATGTTCTTAGTAAGAACATTATTAATTAAAGCAATATGATTGAATGTTATGAAGTACAGGTCTCAAAAAAAAATCAAAATGGTTCTTGGTAGTAACAGTATTGATAAAAAAATTATGATCACTAACTGTTATAAGCTCCGTAGGTAGTAAAAATGTATGAATAAAAAAGTATGAAAAATAAAATTATGAAGAAAGATTATTATGAACACAAATCGGTAGTAAGACAAAGAATAGGATTTAGAATATTATGTGAGCCAATATGGACCCATCCCAAGTAGCATTTTACTCCATTTAAGAGTTCACATTTAGTTCCAATGTGTACTTAAAGCATTAGTACAGTTCACTCGTGATGTATAAGCTGTATTATTGCAATTAATTACACCTATACCTGTCTAAGGGACTTATAGGAGTATAGACTAGTGTAGAGTTATACTTTTATACGATTGTTGGTGTTATAATACTCTAACAACTATCCATTAGTCAGCCGTCTGACTAAGAGCATTATAGGAGGGTAGAGATACGGCAACCGCTGTTTAACGGCCTACTTGTACGATGTTATAGAGCTAGCATTTTAATAGAACACACGTGGTCATTTATAAAGCCAAAGGCTGTTATGTTTACTTGTTTTAGACTGTTATACAGCTAGTAGCTGTAGTAGGACTTGTTTGTGTTAATAAAATAACCTTTTTTTACTATCTGTACAAAAGTGTTTCAATGGTTCGCATGTGCACTGTAGGCTGTTAAAAGGACTATATGTGTTGTCCATTAACATCAATAGCAGTTTATTTGTCCACAAGTACTACTCTTATTTGCTTTAAGCTGAAAATGAATGTGAATGTGATATTCTATTACACTTTTCCCCAAGCCTGTTTTTAGTTGTATTTATGGTGGTTCTGTACATGATGCAGAGGAAAATATTATGCCTGAACCTGAAAGTTCCCTTCAAAATATACAGATATCAGAGTGTGATGATTGCAGTTCTAGTGATAGTGAATACAATTTTGATTTAGACAATTATTTAACCTTTAGCAAAAAAATAAGAACATGGGCTATTGAAAATCGTATTCCTCATTCCGCTTTGAATAAATTGTCAGGCATAATAAACGAATTTAAACCGGGAACACTACCGTCTGATGCTTTAGGTATTCATACTTGACTATTAGTACCTGGGCTAGGCGATTTAACGGACATTAATAATTTTTATTGCGGATCTCTAAAATTTCAGTATTTGAAAGAATTAAAGATACACAATTGACCTGAACTAGGTACATCTTAAAGCTGTACATAAGTTCACATTAGAATAAATTTATAGACATTAGCGCTGTAGTGGTACAAATGTGGAACTTAATATAGATAACAGCATTCTAACAGAACACATGTGAACCTAATATACGCTCACCGCATTAAATTGGAGTTATAACAGTTCACATAGCCGTATTTCATTTCCACCATTTTGTTCTACATAACCTAAAATATTTACCAAATAAATCTCCAAAATTAATGCAGATTTATCACAAAATTCGCAGATAGAGCGATTGAGTTTTGGTTTCATGTTATAATTAATTACCGTAATATAATTATAATGCCAATACAATATCAAAAACTGAAAATTGTAGATTTCCTCTCAGCCAGTTTTAAATATTTTAAAATGAATATCGCGTTTTTACAGAGGCGCGTAAATATTTTAGCTGTAAATATGTATACATTTCACGATAAAGTTGCATTCCCAATGGCATTAACATTATTAAGTATTTAAAACCCGTGTTATTATTTGCATAAATGATTATCCGCCCGAATTGTTTCCCCTTGGCACTCACGTACAAATACCAAACTAATATTAAAATGTGGAAATAATTTAGGACACACGTGAACTTTAGGTAGAATTGGAGTACTTTTGTCGGACTTTATAACTTTGAAAGCTGTGCATTTAGCCACTTGGTACTCTTTATTACACTCACGTACGTTGTATGGTTCACACTGCGTCCCATATAGTGCCGTAAGTCAGCCTTAAGTCCGATGTTACTACTTAAACTGCTATTATAATGCTATTACACTGCTAATGTACAGCCATAGTGAACTTAAGGCTGTCTAATTTGTGCCCAAACTGGTTCTATAAAAGCATTATAGCAAGCTATAGATATAGCTCGTATACAGCTGACATACACAGCTTGTGGAGTACATGTGAACGACTAGACATACTATATAGAACCCCGAATGCTACTTGGGATGTTTGGTCAATAAGTACCTACAAAATATTTACATATTATTTCTAATGAAATGACGTCACCCAGATATCCCCAACACGACCCGTGTTTTATGGGCCATTCCCGTATTATATTCTTATCGCATTCCAGATACTAGTGAATTGCCCCTAGTTTTATACAGTTCTTTTATTATACACGTCAACTAATGTTAAAATAATAACAACTATCACACTAATTACCTAGCCCCAAACTAAGCTAGTAAACAACACCAAAACACTGGCTGTGTAGTAAAAGTAATATTTTTTTATTGTAGGTACTTAATTGATTAGCGCACGTATTCACAAACATTACTATGAGGTCTCACAGTGTGCGTGGACGCACAGGGTGACACACGAACCAATGGTTTTTTAAAAGACAACTCTATTTTTTTATGTAGGTTTATGTTTTTGTTTTAATGATGAATAAATTTTGATGAAGGTCAAGTTAATGCATTAAGTTGCGGGTAATTAAAATGATTGGTGTGCGGGACACACCAATCATTTTAATTACCTTACCACTTAGCCTAATCAGTATCAGGTATGAGTACCTACATTTGAGAAAGTCCAAATATCAGACGGCCAAAATGAGTCTTCCAGTGCCTTGGCCCACTTTTAGCTTGGTCCACGGGCAAAGTCACTGGATTGAATTTTTAAATATTTTTTCTTCCAGTAACTGAGGTGCGCCTCAAAATGGGTGTGATTCGAGGAATCAAAATCCCTAGAGAAGTTTTAAGATTGACACAGACAATCGGGACGGCTATAAATTTATTAGTATGGAGTTAGGTACTATTGTGTGGGCAGCCCAACTGGGTAATCCCAACCAGTTTCCCTTGTTAACCGTTTAGATAACATTTAAAAAAGTTAAACAAGTTGAAAACAACATCTATTTTTCGCTGTGGCTCGGCGGTTGGTCGCCTAACAGGTCAGGTCCTGGGTTCGATTCCTGGGAGAAACAATAAACTGATAAACTTTTTCCTCGGGTAGATCCTTAATAAACGAATAATTAATTATTATAACTTTATAACTATGTAAACTTTGTTTGTACTTATCAGGGGCGTAGCTGTGCCGT